TCTAGTTGTAGAATTTCCACTCAGCCAGCCTGCCTGTGGTTCTGGATGATGTCCGTTTTGTCTTTTAGTTGTATTTTTGAAGTCCCTTTTCTGATTCATGATTTGGTGACCTGTCTTCAACAGCGCTGCCCACCCCAACATGCACAGATTTCCCCTGTACTCCTTCGGGGTAGCCCACAGTTTAAGCTCTTGTGTTTCAGTCTCTGATCCATTTTAAGTTAATGTTTGTATATAGTGTGAGGTAGGGGTTGAAATTCACCTTTTCTTCTATGGCATCCATTTGTTTCAGCATCTTGTTGAAAAGACTGTCCTTCCTACATTAAATTACCTTGGCACCTCATTCTGGACCCTGTTTCCTATTCCATTGACCAATAGGTCTATCATTACACCAATATCACACGCTCTGATTATTACACCTTATAGTAAGTCTTGATTCGGATGGTATATGTCTTTCAACTTTGTTCTTCTTTTCCAAAGTGTTTTTTTTTCTATTTTAGTTATTTTGCTTTTCCATATGAATTTTAGAATCAGCTTATTGATTTCTGCAAAAAGTCTGCTGGGATTTTGATTAAGATTCATTAATTTGGGGTTAATTGACATGTTAACAATATTGAGGCTGCTGACCCATGAATGTGGTGTATCTTGCCATTTATTTAGGTTTTCTTTAATATACATAATTTTAAAAAATAACCACTAAGGGTGCCAAGACAATTATGTGGGGGAAGAATAGTCTTGGTGTTAGGACAAGTGGATATCCACAAGCAAAATACTGAAGTTGAACCCCTACCTCACACCACATACAAAAATTAATTCGGACTGGACCAAAGACCTAAATATAAGAGCTAAAATCTTAAAACTCTTAGATTAGATAGGAATAAGTCTTTATGACCTTGGATTAGGCAATCGATTCTTAAAACAGTATCAAAGCACAAGCAACAAAAGAAACATAGACAAATTGATTTTCATCAAATAGAAAAAGTTTTGTGCTTCAAAGGACACCGTCAAAAAAGTGAAAAGATAACCCACAGAATAGAGCATTTTTGCAAATCCTACATCTGATAAGGAACTTCTGTGGAAGATATAAATAACTCTTAGAATGAAGCAATAAAAAAGACAAAGAGACCAATTAAAGTACATGAGCAAAGGATCAGAATACATATTTCTCCAAAGATTTATTGGCCCTTTAATGACTATATTGGCCAATAACACATGAAAAGATGGTCAACAACATGAGTCATCAGAAAAATGCAAATAAAAAACAGAACAAGCACCACTTCACACCCACGGGATGGCTGTAGTAACTTTTTTAATGGCCAGTGGCAAAGCTGGACGAAGAGGTGGAGGAATTGGAACCTCGTGCACTTGTGGGAGCTCTGCGAAAGGTTAGGCAGAGAGAGACAACCATCTGATCCAGGGGGCATGTCCACTCCGGGATATAGACCCAAGAGAAATGAAAACATGTCCACACCAAAACGTGCACACATATGTTTACAGTAGCATAATAGCCAACTGTCCACTTCTTGATGAATGGATAAATAAAATGTGACCTATCCATAATAGGGAATATTATTTGACAATTAAAAAACGCTGCTACAGGCTACAACCTGGGTGAGCCTTGAAAACATTATGAGAAGTGGAAGAAACCAGTCACAAAGGGCTACAGAATATATGGTTGCATTCATATGAAATGTCCAGAATAGGTGAATCCACAGAAACAGTGGTTGCCTGGGGTTGGGGTGGGTGGAGGGAGGGGCAGGGAGGGAGGGATAGAGTTTCTTTTGGGGGAAGACAAAAATGGTTTAAAACTTATTGTGGTGATTGATGGTTGAACAATTCTGTGGATATACTAAAATCCGCTGAATTCTACGCTTTAAATGGATGAATTCTATGATATGTGAATTACATTTTAATAAAGCTGTTATTTTAAAAAGGGATTTTTTAAAAATCCTCATCCAAGGATATGTTTTTATTGTTTTTAGAGAGAGGAAGGCGGAGGAAGAAACATTGCTGTGAGAGAGGAACATTGATCGGTTGCCTCTCGTAGATGCCCCAGCGGGGAATGGGACCCTCAGCCTTTTTGGTGCACAGGACACGCTCCAACGAACTGAGCCACCAGCCAGGGCAAAAGGGGATTTTTTAATAAGGGGCGGGGGGGGGGGGGGTGGCTTTTGCAAACCCAGTACAGCTCCTGGCCGTCCACATGCAACCTGTCCTCCGGAGGCTCAGAACTGACCTAATGAATAGCACTCAGGTGCGTGTGGTCAGAATAGTCGCTTCCCAGCTCCCTTCCACCAGGGGCTGAGTCCAGTCTCAGGGACCTTTGTCTCTGACAGTGAGTGGACGTTTTCTCTTAGAAGAAAATGGAAATGGGCGCACACGCCATTCATCGTTTCTGAACTTGCTGCCAGGGGTGTAGGCAGCCCTCTGGGACGGCTCGGGGCACGCGGCCTCCGCTCTCCCTGCCTCAGGTTAGGGACTCCGTCTCCACTGAGCTGCTTTGGGTCAGTTTAAGCCGTAAACAGATTTAAGCACCTCTCTGCACAAGCTGTGTAGACACTCCAAACACAGACCATCTACCACCTTGGAGATGAAAGCTGGCCTTGTAGCATTTATTGATTCTTAGCTACTCTCCCAGGGGCCAAACCAGTAGGAGACCAGCCCGGCCGCTACCAGCTTCTGTGTGCCTGTCGTCGTCGCCATCTTTGCTGTCTGCTCTGCTATTGGTTGCTGAATAGTGTGCTTGTTTTTTACGTAAGTGTATCTTGTCATAAGCAGAAGATCCACTAAAAATAGACCCAAGGAAAAGAGCATGGTGTTCCTTCTAACCAGATGCCGTCGCCTGGTGAGCCGTGAGCCTGAGGCTCCTGGTTAAGCGGGGCCATCGGCAGGGCTTAGGGGTGCGGAGGGCCTGACAGCGTGGCTTCGTGAACGCGGAGGAGTGGGCATCAGAGGAGCCTCAGGGGCAGAAGCTGTCACAGGGGCGAAAGGGGAATTTCTTTTTCCTTAAGATCCTAATAGTTGCAAATGACAGACACCCAATTTGGATCAGCAAAGGCAAGAGAGAAAATGTATTGGTTCCCATATCTGATGGGACGGCTGGATCCAGGTGTTTAAATGGTGTCAGGACTCTCTCTCCATCCTGTGGCTCCTGTGTGTCCGCTTTACTCTAGGGTCGTCTCCCCACTGGCGGTGCCAAGTACCACCGACATAGTCATCTGAGCTGGAAGGGAGTCCCTTCCGCAGTTATTCCAGCATAAAGTCACGGAAGTGAGTCCCAGGGGTCCAAGCTGGGGTGGACGTCAATCTGGCCACTCACCCCAGCTTTGGCTGGGGGAGGGGCAGTTCACGTGCGGGGACGCCAGAGCAAGGGGAGAGATGCTGGAGCAGGCACCTGGCTGCCCACCGCCATGCCCGACCTCAGAGGCTCTCGGAGGAGGGCGAGGGGCATTTCAGCCAGGGAGTGGACGGCTTCATGAAGGAGGCGGCCTGCAGCCAGCTGGGCCCTGGGCCCGGGGGCTCCTGCCGCTGCCCCGATACCGGGGAGGAGGAGGAGGAGGACACAAGCTCCCCCTGCCCGCTCCAGGTCTTGGTTAATCTTCCTAAGAAGCCTGCCTCCCCACGCAGCTGGGAAACAATCAGAAAGGTCAGGCAGTCCGCAGCCGCCCGTGCCCGCCCCCTGCTCGGACCCGCCCCCTTCCACCCGGGTCCGCAGGCAGCCCAGCGCGCTTTTCAGACGGCAGATTTGAGGGCATCACGCCTCCAAAGGTTCAATGCTCTTGGGCTTGAAACCCAAATCTTTAGATGGCCCACAGGGCCCTGCTCCCCTTCCAGGCTCCTTTGCTCCCGCTGTCCCTCCCCCCCCCCCCCCCCCCCCGCCCCAGTCTGCTTTCCCCAGGGAACCCTGCTGTGACCTCCTCCAGGTCCCCTCAGCCTGGGGTGTGTGAGCAGCTGTAATAACAGCAGCTGACAGGAGCCAGACAGTGATCCACATTCCATATTTCATTGTCTTCACAACAAGCCTCTGAGGTAGAGGATATTATTGTTCCCATTGTACAGATGAGACAACTGAGGCACTGAGCAATGATTTGCTCAAAGTCACAGCTGGAAAGTGGCAGAGCCAAATTCAAAGCCAGACATTTCAGCTCTAGAGTCTTCTTTCTTGTAATCCTCACTTGAGGATTCCCCCCCCTCCCCCCCCACTGATTTTTGGAGAGAGTGGAAGAGGGAGGAGAGGAAGAGAGAGAGAGAGACAGAGAGAGACAGAGAGAGACAGAGAGAGAGACAGAGATTCATTGCCTCCCACACAAGCCCCGACTGGGGACAGGGATCAAACCTGCAACCAAGGAATTGAACCTGCAACCCTTTGGTCGGCCCCAGCCACTGAACTGAACGGGCCAGGGCCAGAGTCCTGGTTCTTAACCACCACCCTTCCTGCCTCTGGGAGCTCAGAGCTCAGGCTCTGCATCCCGATCGCATCCTATAACCAGGCATTTCTGATGGACTATTTCCTCAACGTTTGCCCCACTTGCTAACAGCTTGTCATGATGGTAGCTAACCACACGGAGCACTTAGCCTGCGCCAGGCCCCGAGCTGAGCACTTTCATGGATCCCCTCCGTCACCCTCTCGGCAGGCCTCTCAACTAGGCTCCGCCATCCCCCTTTTACAGACAGTGAACCCGAGGCTGCGGGTTTAAGTGACTTGGCTGCTAGGCTGGAAACTCCCGGAGGGCAGAAACGTGTTCGTTTGCTCGGTAGTGAGTCCAGAGGGACTAATCCAGTGCCTGGCATACAGTAGGCACTCAATAAATGCTTTTTGGTTGGATGGAGGAGTGGATGGGTGATGAGAGATGGCAAAAAGGAAGGAAAAGGGGAGGGAGGGAGGGAGGGAGGGAGGGCATATGCAACCTGGGCTGCCCGTCTCCCGTGGGTGCTGTGGCCAAGCAGGGACATCCTCGGCGCGAGGTGGATGTCCTAGCTGCACGGCATGCCCGTCTCTGCAGGTGCCACGATGCAGGTGAAGAAGTACCTGGTCAAGTGCCTGCACCGGCTGCAGAAGGGCCCCGGCTACACCTACAAGGAGCTGCTGGTGTGGTACTGCGACAACACCAACACCCACGGCCCCAAGCGCATCATCTGCGAGGGGCCCAAGAAGAAAGCCATGTGGTTCGTGCTCACGCTGCTCTTCGCCTCCATCGTCTTCTGGCAGTGGGGCGTCTTCATCAGGACCTACCTGAGCTGGGAGGTCAGCGTCTCGCTCTCCGTGGGCTTCAAGACCATGGACTTCCCCGCGGTCACCATCTGCAACGCCAGCCCCTTCCAGTAGGTGGTCCCTGGAGCGCTAGGCTGTCTCCCGGTGCCTTTTCCCCCCTCTCCTTCCCGCTTCCCCCCAACTTTCCTTTCCTCCCTTCCCGTTTCTTTCCCTTTCTCTCTCTTTTTCTTACCCCCTTTCCCCTCCTTTATCTCCCTTTCCTTTCCTTCCCTTCTTTCTTTCTTTCCCTATTTGCTTTCATCCCTTTGCAGCAAGTAAGAGTCACTATTCATAAACATCCTAGGCTTAAAGAGAGCCTGGAAAGTAGCTAGCGGCCCCTGTCTTCAGGCTTCAGTATGTGTGTTTAGTGCACCTTCTATGTGCCAGGCCCTGCCATGGACACTGGGAATAAATCAGTGATTAGAAGTCCCTGCCCTCTTCACAGCCTACCAAAGAAAAGAGGCATTAATCACTTTTTTCCTGAAATATTAAATTAATCATAATAGTTCAATAATTATAAAGTGATGATAAAAATATGTGTGTACAGCAGCTATGCATCGAGGGCTTGTGAAATGCCAGGCAGTGTGGTGAGTGTTCGTGGGTAATTCATGTAATTCTAACCCACACGACTACGAGGGTCACTCCTGTCAGAGCCCCAAGTTACGGGCCAGGAAATGGGGATTCAGAGAGGTCAAGGGACCTGCCCAGAGACACACAGTGGGCAACTGTGGCATTTGAACTCGGGCCTGATCTGATCCAGAGCTGCCACCGTTTAAGCACTTGATGGCAAGGCCCATGAGAGGGACACAAGGAGACCCACCCTAGCCAGGGTTGAGGAGAGGCGGCGGGTCAGTCAGAGGAAATGCCCTGAGGAATGAGCACAGTTAGCCAACCTGGTCGGACGCGGAGGGCACTCCGAGCGGAGGGCACAAGCATGTGCCAGGGGCCGGGGGGACGGAGTTTGGTGCATTCAAAGAACTGAAAGAAGGGCCAGCGCGGCTGGGCCACGGAGAACACTTCCTCCACAAGAAGGTCCTCGAAGGGGATGCACACGCCGACTGCACCTGCAGCTACAGGAACCCCTCTGCAGTCATAGGGCCCCTGCATGTGTGGGCGGGCCCTTCAGCAAGGGCTCAAGAGGACCCTGGGTGATGACAGTAAAACAGCCCTCCGTCCAGGCTCCGTCCCGAGTGCTTCATGAGCCTCACCTCCCTGCTCCTCCCAGCAGCCCTCTGTGATTAATATTGTTTCCCTGAGTTTGTAGATGAGAGAACAGCGCCTCAGAGAGGTTCATTTGCCCAAGGCCACCCAGATAGTAAGTGGATTTGAACCACAGTCCAGGCCGTGACCCCCCAAGCTCGACAGCAGCCCTCGCCGCCAAGCGCACCTTCCACCTTCCGGAGCCCCTCCTGCGTGCCCCAGGGGCCAGTTCACGGCCAGGGGCAGGCAGCGTCCGTGTCCAAGGCGATGGCAGCACTGGCTGCCCTATACCTTTGTGCCCAACTGGGGCCTGTGTGCAGGTTTAATGCCTCTCCTGCAGGAAGTCCTCCCGCCCCCGCTGACACACTGGTGACCACACCGGGGTTGGGTCTTGAATCTGCTGGGTGTGGGGTGCCCGGGGCACAGGGACTGGGGGGCACTCCCTGGTATGGGGACATTTCTACCACACGAACTGCTCACCGGTTCCAATGCGGGAGCCTCCAGGGGCTGAGACCAAGTACTGGAGCCCAGCCCACATCCCATCCACCTTCTCCCTTCTGCCACTGGCTCCTGTTCCCCAAATCACTGCCGGGAAAGGGGGACCTCGGGATCACAGACCTGCCCCTCTGCCCCTTCCCCTCCTGGGAGGGGGACAGCAGACACCCCGCCACCCGTGTACAAACAGCATGCCCGCTGCAGCCCACACACCCAGGGCCCAGGCTCAGCTCTGCCCTCATCAGTGGGTGATCTGGGGGAGTCACAGCAACTCCCACAGCCTCAGTTCTGCGTTGCCCTCTGCACCTTCACAGTGCCTGGCGCACAGTAGGTGCTCACTAAATACTCGGTGCACGCATACAGGAGTGAGTGGGCACACACATGGGCAGGTGGGTAGAGAAGTACGTGCTTGGGCAGGGCGTTCTCGCACACGGTGGCAGCTGTGCTGGAGCATGAGGGGGTCCCGGGCTACAGTGGCTGTTCCTGCTGCCCCGCCCCCTGACCAGCCCTCTCCCCACCCAGGTATTCTAAAGTCAAGCATTTGCTGAAGGACCTGGATCAGCTGATGGAAGCCGTCCTGGAGAGGATCGTGGCTCCAGAGCTACCCCGTGCCAACGCCACCAGAGCCCTCAACTTCACCCTCTGGAACCATACGCCCCTGGTCCTTATTGACGAGCGGAACCCCCACCACCCTGTGGTCCTCGACCTCTTTGCAGACAATCACAATGTCTCGGCAAGCGGCAGCCCAGCACCCGGAAGGGCCTGCAATGCCCAGCAGTGCAAAGTAGCCATGAGGCTGGTAAGTGGGCCCAGGCCCATGTCCACCAAGGGCCCTACCCAGTGAGGTTGGTGGGCATTGCTTTCCTTTAATAGCCGGGGCCTTGCTGGGGAGAGGCAGCGCCTGTTCTGTTTGCCAAGCTGTTTTAAACATAGAAATAGCTGCTATGTCAGTCAAGACATTGTGGATGCAAGTGGCCCAGCTCAAACTAGCTTAAGCAAAACGGAATTCACCGGCTCACATACTAGGAAGCCCACAGGTGCGTTGGGTTCGGGGTGGCTGGATCCAGGTGTTCAGATGCTGTCGCCAGGACTCTGTCTTGGCTCACCATGTTTTGTTGAATTTATTGGGGTGACATTGGTTAATAAAAGGACATAGGTTTCAGGTGTACACCCGATAGCAGCCATCTGCACTGTTCTCAGCTGACGTCACTCTCTAGTCGGCTCTCTCCACTCGGAGGGCCGAGACCAGGCCAGACACACCCCCCAGCTCAGCACTCTCCCCAGAGTGCCCCTCCTTCCCAGTGACCACAGCAAAAGTCCTGGGCCGGATCATCAGGTCACATGCTCAGCCCCAAACCAATCACGCGGGCTGGAGGTGGGCGCTCCTGGTCAGACCGCATGCGTCAGGAGCAAGAGGGGCGGGGTGGCTCCCTGAAGGGCGAATTCAGTCTTATTATCAAAAGACAGGGGTACAGCCCTAGCTGGTTTGGCTCAGTGGATAGAGCATCAGCCCTCGGACTGAAGGGTCCCAGGTTCGATTCTGGTCAAGGGCACACACCTTGGTTGCAGGCTCAATTCCCAGCCCTGGCCAGGGCGCATGCAGGAGGCAGCCAATCGATGTGTCTCTCTCACATCAATGTTTCTCTCTCTCTGTCTCTCCCCCTCCCTTCCACTCTAAAAATCAACGGGAAAATATCTGTGGGTAAGGATTAACAACAACAAAGAGACAGGGACATAGACATCAGGCAGGTGTGAGACCGCAGCCGTGCATACGGCGGACGCGGGAGCACCGCTGCACGGGGAGGCGCCTGCGCTGCCTGGAGCTGCCCAGGGCCTGTGCCGTGCGACCCCGGGCCCCGCTCTGCAGAATCCTAGTGGTTGCTCTGCGCCAGAGAGCGGGAGTCATATGTCAACAAGCTCCCTGGTGGTTCTGATAGCACCCCTGCTGCCTGGGGACCCAGGCCGGGGCGCACTCTCCCCAGAGCGAGGCCACTGCCTCCTGTGCCTCCACGTGGCCAGGGCTCGCCCACATCGCCACACAAACCGGCACCTAGCACGGGGCTCGCAGGGCCGCTGCCAGCTTGGACACGGTGCCCAGCGGCTTTCGGTCGGTGGCCTGGCTGCCCGTGTCCATGTCCTCATCGGCGAGGCAGGCGTGTCCCTGGTGGCCATACCAGCGTGTGTGTGTGTGTGTGTGTGTGTGTGCTGCATGTGTGCGCACAGACAGTGCAGGCGAGGTCTGCTGCTGTCACACCTTATTAACCTCCCTGGGCCGCGGGTTCTTCATGGTGGTGGGGTTGCTGTGAAAACTGAATGGGATCATAAAGTAAAGCCTGAGACGGTGCCTGGCCTGAGTGAGTGGGAGGATTACTCCCCAGGGGGGCTCAGAGGCCTCCAGCAGCTGCTGAGGCCACACCCAGCCGGCCTGAAGGGCTGGCCCCGCATGGAAGGCCCTCCGGTCAGTCGGGGTCAGGAGGAGGGCGGCCATGGGATGAGGCGAGCGGAAGCAGAGAGGTGTCTGCGTGCTGAGCTGGGCCTGGGGGAGGGGGCAGCTGCAGCGAGCAGAGGGCCGCACCGGGCTCAGGCTGAGAGGCCAGCCCAGGGGTGGGCAAACTTTTTGACTCGAGGGCCACAGTGGGTTCTTAAACTGGACCGGAGGGCCGGAACAAAAGCATGGATGGAGTGTTTGTGTGAACTAATATAAATTCAAAGTAAACATCATTACATAAAAGGGTACGGTCTTTTTTTTTTTTAGTTTTATTCATTTCAAACGGGCTGGATCCGGCCCTCGGGCCATAGTTTGCCCACAGCTGGGCCAGCCCCTCCCAACCCAGGGGCAGCCCAGGGTCTTCATGGGCCCGGCTCCGCAGCCGTCTCTGGCAGCCCAGGCTGGGCTGGGAAAGGAGCCAGGGGGTCAGAGGGCTTGAGTGTCTGTCCGCACAGGGACTCGCGTACGTGAGCGGGGTAGCAGGGATATGTGTGTGCATAGTTGTGACCATGGCATCATGTGGCTGGAATGTCAGAAAGTGGCACCTATCTCGGTGTGTGGGTGTGTGTGCCTGTGTGTGCATGTGTGTGCCTGTAAGGGTGTGGGGGTGTGTGTGGTCACTCGAGCTGAAGACGCCCTGCGGGTGGAGGCTGTGTAAGTCCCTGTGGCCGGGCAGCTGTGGATGAGGGGCAGCCCGGGGCCCAGGGTGCGGCCCGGGCAGGGACAGCCAGCGGGGCACTCTCGGCCCACGCCCTTGGGGCAGGCGATGGGCCGGCCCGCAGCCCTGCACCCACAGGAACCCTCGGTCTCCGCAGTGCTGCCTCAACGGGACCGTGTGCACCTTCCGAAACTTCACCAGCGCCACCCAGGCCGTGACAGAATGGTACATCCTGCAGGCCACCAACATCTTCTCCCAGGTGCCAACCCAGGAGCTGGTGAAGATGGGCTACTCGGGCGAGCAGCTGATCCTGGCCTGCCTGTTCGGGGCCGAGCCCTGCAGCTACAGGTGAGCGAGGCGCCGGCCCCCGCAACCCCCAGCTGCCGCACCCAGGGCCTGCGCTCGGCGTCTCAGGCCACGCGTCCTGGCGGCACCTGGGAAGAATTAGCCAAGCATCTCAGGTCACCTGTTCGTTGCGGAATCGTTTGGATTCATAGAAGAGTTGCCAAGGTCGTAGACAGAGTCAGTTCCCCTCCTCACCCGCTTCCTCCACCGCTGCCGCCATCTGACAGCATGGTCATTTGTCACAACCGGAAGCCGACATCGGCGCGGTGCCACTAGCTAAACACAATGCTTTGTTCTGATTTCGCTGGGTTATCCTGGTGCCCTTTTTCTGTTCCCGAATTCCACCCGGAGGCCACACTGCGCTCCGTCAGCGTCAGCGCTCTCTGGCTGCGGGCGGCTTCTCCGCCGTCCTGGTGGAGGACCGTGACCCAGCGCCAGGCGGTCACAGCGCTCCCCTGCGTCTGTGAGGTGAGGGGTTGGGGAAGAAGACACCAGGCGAGGCGCCCTCAGGTCCGGTCCGTGCTGAGTGCCAGGCTGCCCCCCGGCCCACTGCGTGCGGTGGAGGCGAGTCACAGGCCGCCCTGGGGGGGGGGGGGGGGGGGGGGGGGGCGGGACCTATGCTCCCCGGAGGCAGGTTGGCCTGTTCTCCGTGTGCGCCTGTGGGTCGCGTATTCCCCCAGTGGGTCGCGTGTGCATTTGGGCCAAGTTATTCATCCTCCGCTCGGGTTCGTCCAGCTTTGGTCACTGGGCGTGTCCATGTAAGAACGTCCAAACCCGAAGAGAATGTTTATGTTTGAGCCAAACTGCCCGCAGTGCCGGGCAGAGCTCAGATGATCTGCTCAGGGGCAGCGGCAGCTTCTCCGATGCATTTGGAATGAAGGCGGGAGCGTGAGGACGATGGCATGGAGGGGGCGGGAGGAAGGCAGGATGGTCAACGAGACGGTGTGGCTCCTCTGAGGGTCTGTCACAGGTGTGCTCCTGGGTGCGTGGGAGCCGTGGGCAGGGCTTACTTCAGGCAAAGCAGACCTTCCACTAAAGCCATGTGTCGGGGCGTGCCCACCGCCAGGACCGCCCAGCTGGGCACGTATGGTCAGACCACCTGTGAGGTGGCTGCATCACTGGACTTGTCAGTTTCATTACAGACCCTTTGTGCCCACAGAAACTCTCCCCGCCCTTCGACATGCCTCCGTCCAGTGTTCATGTGTTTACTCACTGTTTATGCTCCTTACTGTCTGCCCTACGAGGTGCCCGGGCCCGGAACCAGCATGGCTCTCAGGACCCTGTTCCTTTCACTGGAGGGGGACCTGGCCTAGATGGTCATTGTCACCATCATTAGTCTGCTGTTATCCTACCGCCGCTGCAACACCAGGGATCGGCCAGCTAGCTTCCGTCCTGGGAAGCCTGCCCTGACCCCGCCCCCCGGCTCGGGGCCGTTTTACTGCTTCCTGCCAGGAGTCTCTATCCCCTGGTGCCCTGGAGGCCTGCGGTCTCTGGGTCTCTGTCTGCACGGCTGGCCTGGCCCAGGACAGGCTCGGAAAGAGCCGCTGTGTCTGCGGCGGGAAGTGGCCAGCACTGGGAGCCGCCTCTCCGGGAAGGGAGCCTATCAACCAGCAAATGGTCGGCAAGCAGGTGCGGGGAGACCAGGAGCGCAGCCGGGCGGAGAGGACCAGCTGCGGATGTCCGAGACGCTGTGCTGGGAACAGTGTGTGCCCGCGCCCCTGGGCGGGGCTGGCCCTCCGGAGCAGTGCCCGCTGTAGCACCGCCATTCCTCTCCGGTGGCACAGCCCTGAGCCCACACAGGATGCGGACTGCACAGTGCCCGCCCAAAGCTATGTGTGCCCTCCAGGCCTTCGCCTTGCTGGGCTCCCTGCCGGGCACCCTTTCCACGCCCAGGTTGAGCCTCCCATCTCGGGCCTCACCTTCCCTGACGACCCCCGGCCCCTCCCAGGGCGTTAGGTGGCGACCCTTCCTGCTTATCTCTGTGGGTGCCCTGTCACGTGTGCCAGTTTCTAATGCTAACAAATATTTACCGAGTGTCTGACCGTCGTCGGCAGTATGCTCGGCATCCGGCCTCGCCTCGGTCCTGGGGTGGGTGCTGCTACCCCGGCTGCGGTGAGCGCGGGCACAGAGGCAAGGCGCCTTCCCCATGCTCCCAGCCAGGCGGGGGCAGAGCGAGCATGAATTCAGGCAGGCTGGCTCCTGGCGGGCTCTCAGCCTCCAGGTTCTTTCTTTGCCCAGACAGACACCACACTGTCCTCACGACACATGTGCAGCGAGAGGCAGCTGCAGCAAGCAGGTCCGCGGTGGACGGTGGTTTGGGACTTGGGTGCCCGCTGTGAGGAGGCAGGCGGTGGGGGTGTCTGTGTGGAACAGAACATGGGACCATGCACTTCAGGTGACCCTCTGGGCATCGAATGCCCCGAGCCTAGCCCCTCCTGCTTTGAATAAAATAAGAAAGAACTATGAGAGCATCCGAAGGCCTTTGTAAAGCTATTTCTACCCTCTGTGGAGACGGAGGAGGTGCAGGAGGATGGGAGGAGTATGGGAGTTCGCCTGGCCGCGGCCCGGACCCCCGTGAGCCCAGCCCGCCCGCCCCCTGAACGCCGCAGCCTGCGTCTAGCCTTCAGGGTGGCTCTGTAACCGAACCACAACGCCATTGTCCCACCCGGAAGCAAGTCGTCAATAATTCCTCAATACCGTCGACTGTCAGTGGTGCTCACCTCGCGAACACCATGCCTCTTTCTTTGTTTGCTGCTGAGTCAGGCTCCCGCTGCCGCCCCACCTGGGCTGTAACCGCCTCTTCCCAGTTTCCCTCACGGCGGCCGCTCCCTCTCCTTCTCTCACCCCTGATTTGTTGGAGAAACTGGGTTATTTCCTCGCTGAGTCCCCACAGTCTGGGTTTTGTAGGTTGACGTCTGTCTGTGGCCAGTGGTACAGATACTCGGTCCTGCTCAGTGGGGCTGGGCAAAGCCTGGCTTTCAGCCTGTGCCCGGCCGGGCCCACCAGGCCCTCGGCACAGCTGTATCGCAAGGCAAGGTTAGGAGACACTTACAGGCCGTGGCGGTGGCTCAGGTCGCTGCACCGAAAGATCACGGTTCGGTTCCGGTCGGGCACGTGCCCGGTTGGGGTTTGATGGATGTTTTTCTTTCTCCCTCTTCCTTCCTCTCTCTCTAAGGTCAATTAACATATATGTGTGTGTGGATTTTTTTTTTCAAAGAGAGAGCCACGTTAACATCATGTGGATCCCAATTTAAATAAACTGAGAAACAAAATGTATGAGACATTTATGAGACAACTGGGGCTTTGAACTGAATATTTCGTAATGTGAAGGAATTTTAGTTGTTTTTAACATGAACGTAGCATTGGCTTTTAGTTCTTTCTTTTAGAGATGCATGTGAAGTGCTTGCAGATAGCAGTGTGATGTCTGAGGCCCGCTGCAGGGGCGCGTGGAGGGGGAGGGGCGGGCAGGCGGGGGCGGGCTGCGTCTCTGTACTCTCTTACGTTTGAGATGTCCCGTAGCAAAGACGGGGCTCACCAAGCCCTTCGGAACGCGTGACGCTGCCTCTACTCCGTGAGCACCTTTACGGGAGCATTTCTTGTTGGATTATTTCCGTAGGAAGCTCTCTGACCTGACACAGGACCGTGGAGGGTCCTGTCTCCTTGTGCGGGGCTCTTTCCTTCCACAGCCCCCCGTGGACCCTGCTGACCCACAGCCCCGCGTGGACCCTGCTGGCCCACAGCCCGCCTGGCCCCTGCTGGCCCACAGCCCCACGTGGACCCTGCTGAGACATAGTCCTGTGTGGACCCCTGCTGGCCCACAGCCGCCTGGCCCCCGGCTCTGCCCACTTCCCTCTTTATCCGAATGGCCCAGGTGTCCAGTCCACCTCTCTGGAGAGTGACTTAAACGACAGAATTTATTTCTTCGGGGGGAGGCCAGAGGCCCGAAATCAAGGTGTCGCAGGGCCGGCTCCCCCCCAGAGGCCCTGGGGAGGGTCCTTCCCGCCTCTGCCAGCTTCTGGGGGCCCCGGGCTTCCTGGGCTTGTGGCTGTGTCACCCCCACCGCTGCCTCATCTTCCCGTGGTCTCTCTGCTGGGACTCTCCTCGGGCCCTGCTAAGGCGGCTGGGTCCCACCCGTGCCCCGGGCTGCCCTCCCCTAGGCCCCTTAGTCACACCTGCAAAGAGGTTCTCCAAACGAGGTCACTTCACAGCCCTGGCTGAGCGGGACCTGCAGAGGCGAGAGGTGAACGCGTGAAGGACGCTCCTCGCTCCTGGCTAAGCCTGAGCCCACCCGAGACTCCCCTCTCCCCTCTCCCCGAGGGCGTCCGGGCTGAGGGGCTGCGCGAAGGCCTGCCGCTCGCTCCCGGCCTGGGCCCTGGGCCCCCAGCCTGCACAGCAGCCGGGCGGGCACCGGGCACCGGGCACCGGGCACCGGGCGGGCGCACTCCAGCTGCTGCTGTTTCTCTCAGGAACTTCACCGCCCTCTTCCACCCTGACTACGGCAACTGCTACATCTTCAACTGGGGCACGGCCGAGCGGGCGCTCCCCTCCTCCAACCCCGGAGTGGAGTTCGGTAAGGCTCCGCTCCCCAGCCCGGCCCATGAGGCTTTTCCCCCCACCGTGCGGGGCCCAAAGACCAGGGGGCCATCAAGCGTTGAAGGGCAGGATCTGGGCAGGCAGCTGGGGCCTGAGGGAGAGTGGCCGCCTCAGTGGGGCGGGGGGGACCCCTGGGGCAGCCACACCACTTCCATTTTGCTAATGAGCAGAATAAGGGCTGAGTGGGAAGCGCTCGGCCCTGCCCCGTGGGATCCCAGGTTCCCATGCGGGCTGGAGGAAGTGACCTGGGCTGAGACCTGCAGGGAGAGCGGGTCTTCTGGGAGTGGGGGGCGGGGGGGGAGCACAGCATTCCGAAGGCCTGGCACCAGGAAGGAGCACGGGGCTGAGACGGCTGACTGTGAGGCGAGGTGGGGCCGCCATGCGGTGGGGGAGCAAGAGGAGCCCGGGAGGAGAGACCGGTGGCGGGGACTAGGACGGGCCTAGAGAAGACAGGGGCTGGCCTTTCACAAAGCGGAGCCGGCCTCCTGGGCAGGCCGGGGGGCCCCCTGCTGGGGGCATGGACATGTGGGTGGCGGGCTCCCTGCAGCAGCCCTCGCCCCCCCCCCCCCCCACAGGCCTGAAGCTGATCCTGGACCTGGGCCAGGAGGACTATGTGCCCTTCCTCACGTCCACGGCCGGCGCCCGGCTGCTGCTCCACGAGCAGAGGTCGTACCCCTTCGTCAAGGAGGAGGGCATCTATGCCATGTCGGGGACGGAGACATCCATCGGGGTGCTGGTGGTACGCCGCAGCCCCAGGGGCGCCTGAGGGGTGAGGGTGGCAGCCCGCCCGCCTAGCCCCCACTCCCGGGGCCTCTTCCAGCCCGGCCTTCCCTCGCGGTCCCCCCGGCAGCTGCTGGGCCACTGCTCTCCATCCCCTTGCAGGGCCTTAGAGCCACCTGCTGAGTGGCAGGCGGGGCACAGGGGCCTCCTGGGCTGACCAGGGTCCCCACGAACAACCTCTCTGACGCAGGACAAGCTGGAGCGAAAGGGCAAGCCCTACAGCCAGTGCACCGTGAACGGCTCCGACGTCCCCATCCACAACCTCTACAGTGACTACAACACCACCTACTCCATCCAGGTAGCGGCGGCACTGCCCCCTGGCCCTGGGCCGTCTGGTCGCCCGGCCTAGGCCTAAGGCTCTGGGACCGCTGGGCTGGCAGGGCTGGCTGTGCTGGGCTTTGGGGGCACGTTGGGGTGGTTCCGTGGATGTAGTGATACTTGGGGCTGTAGAGCCAGTCCAGTCCCCGGGTTCTCACCAGGGCCCGGGTTGCCCGCCTGCCATCCCCCTCAGCAGGCAGGGTGCCCTTGGGGATGCCCTGGGTTGTCAGGGTCTCACTCTGGGGCCCTACGCAGAACCCGTGTGTGTATGAACTAAGGTTTTGCATGTGTTACATCATCATTTGATCCTTTCAACACCCCACGAGGGAATAATATACTAACAGCAGTTGTTAATTATTATATATGCTATTTAGTTATTATCAGTGTGAATTAAGTGCTAATAGCAGGCTGACCGTGTGCTAGGCAACACTCTGCCAAGTACTTCCCATGTTCGATCACTTAATCCACCCAACAACCCCAGTGCAGCGGCGATTATTAAGAGCCTCAGGCTGGAGTGAGTCCATGTCTCGTCAGTTTACCGGGCGAGCCCCTCTCTGCCTCTGGCCTAAACCCCTTTGCTGCAGCCCAGGAGGCCGGCCCCAGCCCGTCCCAGTGAAGGGGACAGACTCAATCTTTGCAAAGGTGACAAAAGTAACCACTAGCTGACACTTCCTCCCCCTGCCCATCTGCCCTGGCAGGTAAGGAAACTGAGGCACAGCAAGGGGAAGCCCTGGGCCGCCTCCATGTCTGAGCGCTCCAAGCAGGGGTGGTCTTCCCTTTGACCTCCTGCGTGGCCGCCCGCCCTTGCAGCTGGCCCCTCCACCCCGCACTCCGCCCAGCAGACACGGTCCCCTCAGCAGGGGCAGCCCCCCGGGAGACAGGGAGAGTGTAGGCGCCCCGGAGGCATTAGCTCCACCCACGAGACCTCTTTCCAGGAAATCTCTTGCTCCTTTCAATGCACTAGCACCTCTGGCCAGAGACCTTGGCAAAGACCCCGGGCACCTGTGCCAACCCCAGCCTCCGTCATGGGGCTGGAGACACCACCTGCTTCCCAAAGCCAGAGCCCCTTGTCTCCCCGCCCCTCCCCCAGGCTGCTCACCGCTTGCCCCCCATTTCCTGGTCCAGACCAGGGACTAGGCCAGGCCCGGCCCTCCCCCTCAGCCCACAGGTGACTGCCACCCTGCTTCACCCACGAGTAAACCGAGGCTCCGAGGGAGGGAATCGCTGCTGCAGACACAGAGCGGGTCTCAGGGGATGCCAGTGGGTGGAATGCGCCGACCCCGGAGAGTCTTCACATTCCGCCTGGCGCCTGGCGTGGCAGCCCAGGCTCCCCGCCCTCCCAGCTGGCAGCCCCTGAGCGGTCCCCCAGGAGGTGGCGCGGGAGGCAGCCGGCTGTCCCCTCAGAGCTGCTCCTGCTCCTGGGCCGCCTGGGTAAAGGGCTCGGAAGGCCGCTGGGCCTGTAACAAGAGCTGCAGCCAAGTGTCAGCGTCTGCGTTTGGAGCAGCCGCCTTTCCCCTGTGCTCAGGGCCCAGCACCTCAGGGAGCAGCCCCATCCCTCTGCAGCTCGGCCACCTCAGCACCACTTCGCAGGGGGGACGCCTCCCCTGACTCCCAGCTCCCTGGGCCCGTCCCACGGGCTCCGGTGGGGACGCCACTGGTCATCGCAGCCTCCTGTCCCCTCCCCAGGCCTGTATTCGCTCATGCTTCCAAGACCACATGATCCAGAACTGCAGCTGCGGCCACTACCTGTACCCCCTGCCCCGAGGGCAGAAGTACTGCAACAACCAGGAGTTCCCAGACTGGGGTGAGTGGGCCCAGCCATGGGCACCGAGCCCACCGGGCCCTGTCCACAAAGGCTCTGATGCCAGGGAGGTGCAGTTCCATGCCCTCAGCAGGACCCGGTGTGCCCGGCTTGCTCAGCCCCTGCCCAGCACCCCTCCCGGGCCACCGCTCCCCTCCGCACCTCGCCCACGGCTCCTACACTTGACTGTGTTGGGAGCGACGCTGTCTGTGCGCTGTCTGTGCCTGCTCCTGCTCCCTGAGGAGAAGCCCCCCCAGTCACAGACCTTAGGCCCAGGGCCCGGAGGGTAGAGGGCAGCCCGGGGCTCCCAGGGGAGAGGAGAGCAGCGGGAAGGCCGCTCAGAGTCTGCCCTCTCCCTGCTCAGTCTACTGCTACTCGCAGCTGCGCCAGAGCCTGGGCCAGAGGGAGGCCTGCATCCGGATGTGCAAGGAGTCCTGCAAGTGAGTGCGGTGCAGGCCTGTCCGCGGCGGGCAGGGCAGGGCGGGTACTGCGGGGCAGGACAGCCACGGGGATGCCTTCTCTCTTCCAGTGACACCCAGTACAAGATGACCATCTCCATGGCCGACTGGCCTTCTGAGGCCTCTGAGGTGAGGGGGTGGGGACTGCAAGCTGCTTGGAGATTTGGAGAGGGAGCCTCTACCCTCCCCCTCCCCCCCCCCCCCCCCCCCCCCCCCGCTTTCCTCCACTCCCAGCGGCTATGCAGTGAGCCACGACAGAGTCCTGTGTCCTTGCAGTGCTTGCATTCTGGCCAGAGGGTCAGCCCACAGAAATAAGACCATGCAGAGTAGGGTGATGATTGTAGCCAGGAAGCCGGATGATGAGAGAGAGATGGGGAAAGCCTCCTTAGATGGCGGCCAGGGAAGGGCTCCCTAAAAAGGTGATGGAGCAGAGGATGGAGCTGAGCCAGCGTGGGCAGGGCCGGGGAGCAGGACCGGCAGAGGGGCAGCAAGTGCCGGGGCCAGAGGTGGGCAAGGCCGGCAGAGGATGGCTGAGCCTCTGGGGGAAAGAGTCTGGAGACCTGAGTGCCTCCTCCCCATAACAGCAGCCACATCGCGCACTATTCCCTCCCTGCCTGCTCTCCCCGACCCAACACACATCCCCAAAGAGATGGCCCACCCCCCACAGGAAGCAGGGCCCCTCCTTGGGAGGGAGTGCTGCAGGCCCCATTGTTTTCAGCTGCTTCCTTGGGTTGCAGGACTGGATTTTCCATGTCTTGTCTCAGGAGCGGGACCAAAGCACCAATATCACCTTGAGCAGGTAAGCCTGGCGTGTGGGCAGGGCTGGGAGGCAGGAAAGGGCTCAGGAGAGGAGTCTGGACACAGGGCAGCTCCTCAGACCCCTTCTCACACTGCTCAGACCTGGGAGTAAGCCTGGAGGAGGCAGCATTGGGAGTGAGAGAGCCACCCAAGGGGACTCAGAGTGGACCACTCCCAAAGGAGAGCCTGTTCCTCCTCCTGCCACCTGTTCATACACCCATCCACGCATCCATCCATCCATCCACTCTCCATCCTTCCAGTCTTCTACCCATCCATCCATCCTTCCATCCATCCATCCATCCACCCATCTATCCATCCATCCTTCCATCCATCCATCCTTCCATCCATCCATCCTTCCATCCATCCACCCACCCATCCTTCCATCCATCCATCCATCCTTCCATCCATCCATCCATCCATCCATCCATCCATCCATCCATCGATCCATCCTTCCATCCATCCATCCTTCCATCCATCCATCCTTCCATCCATCCATCCATCCATCCATCCACCCTTCTACCCACCCATCCACCCATCCTCCATCCTTCCAGTCTTCTACCCACCCACCCACCTATCCATCCATCCATCCTCCCATCCATCCATCCATCCATCCATCCTCCATCTATCCATCCATCCATCCATCCATCATCCATCATCCATCCTTCCATTATTCCACTCACCCATCCCCCAGCCATCCATCATACAACACAAACATGCACTGAGCACAGAAAAGACACGAGGTGCATATATCAGGAAACCTGAATCTAGAGGACAGACTGATGTGAGCAGAGCTTCTCCCTGTGGGAGCACAGTGGGAAAAAGCCAGGAGAGATAAGGGAGGTCTGTATAGGGGGGTGGTGCTGGAGCTAACCCTCCAAGGAGGAGTAAGAATTATTCAGAAAAGTAAGGCCTGGACGTGAGCAAGCTCAGCCTTTCCGAGGGCCACCGGGTGTAAGGGCCTAGCCCACTTGGCCACCCTTCTCTGCCCCAGGTTTCCTAACAGTGGCAAGGGTTAGGGTGGACTCTCTGCAGCATCTCCTGTATGTGGGCTGGGCTGCCCTGGGGGTGGGAGAGGGGAGCTCTCAGGGGCTATCTTGGGCCAGAGTATCCCTTAGGAAGCTGGTTCAGAAATGGGCCCACAGGATGGGCGCTGGGCAGAGATGCCTTTTGTGACTCAGGCTCAGAGGGGCCACTCATGGGACTGGCCTGTGCCAAGCTCAAGCAGAGGAGGGCTGGGCAGGTGTGTGTGCGTGTGTGTGTGTGTGTGTGTGTGTGTGTGTGTGTCCGGGAAAGGGCACCAGTCCCTGTTGCCTCCTGCAGGAAGGGAATTGTCAAACTCAACATCTACTTCCAAGAATTCAACTATCGTACCATTGAGGAGTCAGCAGCTAATAACGTGAGTTTGGGCTCCTGACCCCTCTGCCCTGCACCCTGCGGGTCAGGAGGGTCCCCTGCTCACAGAGGCGTTAGGAAGGAAGGTCTCTAAGCACTTGTTTCCGTGGGCTGAGATGGTCCCCCTGCCCCTTCCCAGTCAGCCGCCCAGCTCACAGGACCCAGGAGGCTGGGGTCCAGGCAGGGCCTGTGGCCTGCCCACCTCCGCCAGGCTCTCAGCTCCCTGCCCCCCACAGATCGTCTGGCTGCTCTCGAATCTGGGCGGCCAGTTTGGCTTCTGGATGGGGGGCTCGGTGCTGTGTCTCATCGAGTTCGCGGAGATCGTCATCGACTTCCTGTGGATCACCGTCATCAGGCTGGTGGCCTTCTCCAAGAGCCTGCGGCAGAGGCGGGCCCAGGCGCGCTACGCTGGCCCCCCACCCACCGTGGCCGAGCTGGTGGAGGCTCACACCAACTTTGCCTTCCAGCCTGACACGGCCAACCCTGGGGCCTACCCCGATGAGCAGACCCTGCCCATCCCGGGCACCCCGCCCCCCAACTATGACTCTCTGCGTCTGCAGCCATTGGACGTCATTGAGTCTGACAGTGAAGGTGATGCTATCTAGGCCTTGCCCCTGCCCCTGCCCCTGCCCCTGGCCCTGCCCAACCTGGGCAGTCCAAGAACTCGGACCTGAGGAGCCGAGACCAGGGCCCAAGGCCTCATTCCATCGTGCCCTCTCCAAAGGGCCAACAGGTGTCCGGTCGAGTCTGTCTCTTGCAGAGAGGCCAGCAGTCCCAGCCCCAGGCCGAGGGCGCCGTAGGCTCGCGGTGCTGTCGGGAGTGGGGAATTGTGTGCTCAGTTGGTTTCTACCCACCCTAACCTTGAGCCAGGCTCCAGAGACCCGAGGACACCTTCCCCGGGGGCCGGCCGCTTCCCTCCAGCCAGTCGGCGTCCGCTCCAGAGCCGGGCCACCCCCAGAACCTGCGGCCTTTCCTTCCTGGTGGCTGGCCTCCGGGGTGGGATCGGTGAGGGCAGTGGCTGTGCAGAGCAGGAGAGCATCAGGCGGGCCGGGGCTGGCTGCCAGGTGGCACGTGTTTTATTCTAGAAAATAAAAGTAGAAAACACCGCGTGGAGCCATGTTCTTCGTCGGAGGGGGCAGTGGAAGCGTCGGACACGTCTCGGGGGCGGAAGGACTTCCTGCGGCCGGAGAGCAGGGCCTGGCCAAGGAGAAGCCCCAAGCGGTGGCCTTTGAAGTCCCTTTCCAGCTGTCCCCGAAGCAGCGGACTGGGGCTTCTTTAATGCCGCCCAAGTCATCGCGTGGGTTATAAGGACAGAGCCGGGGAGGGGACCACGCGGCTGGCTCAGGCTCAGGCTCCAGCAGCTCCAGGGACTGCCCTGCCTCTGCTTTCCGGGGCTGTGCTCACAGTGCCGCCCACAGGCCACGCCAAGGGCGCCAGCAGCTGGGAGAGCGCCTTCTCCCCAGCGGCCACCGCTCCAGGCTGCCTCTCACTGGCCGCTGCTGGTCACATGCCTGCCTTTGGCCACGGGTGCGGCCAGCTGCAGCGGCTGCTTGAATCGCTCGGACCCGACCACACCTGAGGCCCGCTGGCCCCAGGGAGTCACGGGTGCGGATAAAATACAGGCAGCCAAGCAAAATACGAATGTCAGATAAACCACGAGTTCATTTTTTAGTATAAATATGTCTATATAATATTTGGGATATATTATACTAAAAACTCACTGGTTTTCCTGAAATTCAAATTTAACTGCTCACATCCTGTAGTTTTGATTGCTCAATATGGCGACCTTTGCGGCTCCCCACGCAGAGGTCAGGGAGCTATTACGGAAGGAGAGTGGGTCTGGCAGGAGCGACGGCTGGCGCTGCCGCGGGGAGGAGCGCTGGCTACAGCCTGGCACCCAGGGCCCGGCCCAGCTGCTGGCCTAACACCTGGGGCCTTGGCCTCCGATTCAGGATCCCAGGGGGCACCTTGGAGCCTCTCTGGCCAGGCAGCACTGCCGGGGCTGGCGGAGGGAGGGCCTGGGGAAAGCCTGGCGTCTGCAGGCTGGAGTCGCAGCTCTTAGTAATTGCCATGTTTGTTGCTATGACTGCTTTTACTATTGGCATAGGGGTTGCTGTCACCACACTCGCTATTATCATTCGCTATCAAGCAGTGGTTATATTGTATCAAGCTCTTACCACATGCCAGGCTCCAGGCCAAGTACTTTAGAAGTCTTATTTCATTTAATTCTCATCTTCCAGGTAAATAAATTGAGACTCAGAGGGGTAAAGTAAGGTACCCAAGATCGCTATTATTCTAGTAAGCGATGAAGGAAGACCCCAGCCTCATCCTCTTGCTGCCAGTGGGCATGGCAGGGCCTGAGGGCTTTCATGCTTATTGTCTCATCTGTTGCTATGGGGCACGTAGAGCAACACATATCTAGCTCCTTTGGCCACAAGGTAATCTGAACTGATTTAACGCATGGGCCATAGCCAGTGTGGATCAGTGGTTGGAGCATCGGCCCACAGACTGAAGGTTCCCAGGTTTGATTCCAGTCAAAGGCACGTATCTTGGTTGCAGGCTTGATCCCCAACCCGCCGGGGCACGTGCGTGAGGCAGCCAATCGATGTGTCTCTCTCACATCGATGTTTCTCTCTCTCTCCCCTCCCTCCCACTCTCTCTAAAACTCAATGGAACAAATACCCTCGGTGAGGATTAACAAAGAAAAGGGGAGAGGGGCACATGGGCTCTTGTAATGAAAGCCCAGGGGCTCACCTAGATCTGGTGGCTTCTCCAGCTGCTGGCTCTACGTCCTTCTGTGTGGGCGTCCCTCTCACACAGGCTCTCTCCACCGGCCTCTCTCCCCGCCGTCCAACTCCATCCCTCAGCTCAGCAGCCACAGCCGGAAACCCCTTTTTTTATTTTATTGATTTTAGAGAGGAAAGGAGAGGGAGAGAGAGGAAGAGCACCGATGAGAGAGAACCCTTGATCGACTGCCTCCTGCATGCCCAAGCCTGGGCATCGAGCCCTGACCAGGAATCAAACAGAACCTCCTGGCTCATAGGTCGGTGCTCAGCCACTGGCCACACCTGCGTGGAAGCTCCTCCTCCACAGCGTCCCAGCAAAAGCCCTGAGAATGCAGCTCTTCTGAACCGATCGCTGGGGAGAGGACCCTGCCAGCCCTGGGCGAACCCAGGGGGAGCCCCTTTCCACACCCTGACAGGCTCTGCTCAGACATCATGAAGCAGGAGTGGAGGGGCCGCTTCCTGCCCCCGAGGTGCCTGTAGATGTGAGGCGGCGGCTGGCGGGCCACCTGCTGCCCTTCTCCCAGGAAGCACTGAGGGCCCCGGCCTGGAGCAGTCAGTGCCAGGCGCTCGGGGCCGGCAGACGGCACTCCTCTCCCTCCAGATGGGGACACGCACTGTCCTGTTCCTACCCCGGGGCCCCGCCAGAGCCTCTCAGGGCTGGAAATTAGGCTGCCAGGGCCCAGACTGCCCAGGACATGCCTTCTGTGGCTCCCCCCCACTCCACAGGGCAGGTCGGCTGCCTGTGCCACGGCCGCTGCCCCCACCGAACCTCAGGGTCCCGAGGCAGGGACCACTGGGCCTGCTTCTCAGATTAGCAAGGAGGCTCGGTGAGCTGCCTTTCCCCAGGTCGCAGCTGGGAGGTGGCGAGGCTGGGACTGGAAGCCCAGCGGCACTCATGGCGGACACTGGCACGGACACTGGCACAGACATCTCCACTTAGGGCAGCCCGCCGCTCCGCCCAGGTTTCTGGCCTCCCTCCTTCCGGGCAGGAGCCAGGCTCCACCTTGCCAGCCCCACGTGGGACCCACAGCAGAAGCCAGAGTGCTGTCCTCGGTGCAGCGTCACAGCGTGGTTTCCGGGCCAGCAAAACTGGTGCCAGGGCGAACGACAGATGTGCCAGAACCCCCGGGCGACCCAGCGAGGCAGATCCTGGCGGCCTGGGGCGGGTCCGACCAGGTGGGACCGGTGGTGCTGCCTGCCTCGCCCTGTGGTCAGGAGCAGGGGGTGCCGGTCACAGGCTCGCGCTCAGCCTGGCCCTGCCCCTGGTAGCTGAGGGACTCCGGGCGAGCCCCCTGAGCGTCTCGAAACCTCAGTTTCTGTGTGTGTAGCACAGGCAGGCTGCTGGGAGGCGGAGGGGAGGAACGGTTCCGTCCAGAGAGCACAGCACCCATCCAGTCCCCACAGGGGACCCTGCGAGACACTGGCCCTCTCCTCCCCCTGCTAACAAAGCCCAGTCTGTTCAGGGCTGTGATGGCCCAGCCCAGGCGATACATCCTGAGTGGGCTGAGCGGGTTTCTCTGCTGGAGGCGAGGTCCTGGGGCAAGGTCTGCAGGCACGCTGGCTGTCGCACTAGGGGAGCACCTCAGCCTGGCCCGGGGGAGGCTGGGATGCTGCTCTGCATCTCAAGGTGCACAGGGCAGGCCCAATGTCGCTCGCGCCAGGACTGGCAAACCCTGGTACAGCCAGTCCTGTCCCAGCCTTCCCAGCCTCCTTTGCAATTGGGGAGGTACCTGGTGACCAAGAAAATGACCAATGAGGCCTGGGAGGAAGCGGGTGGGGCTCTGCCTCCCCAGGAGAGGGACAGACTTGCTCAGCGCCTCTGCTTCCTGCCCCACCCCCTCGTGGTTGCAGGAGCTGCCCTGCCAGGATGAGGACCAGGTAAGGGTCGGGTCAGAGGCTAGGCCTGCTCATCCACACTGGATCGGTGCCCGAGGCCCACCATCTGACACCTGTTACTGAGAAAAATCAACTCCTATTTGTGTGAGTCACTCAGATTACATTATTCTGTCACCTGTAGACAAGTACACTCATAACAGATACAAAGCTACCGGCAAAAAAACAGAATCCACACCATCTGCACGTTTTAAAAAGGAAAAGCTGGTCCTCATCAGAGGTCCGAGGCCGTCGCCCAGCCGCCTCCAGCCTCCTTCACGCCCTGCCGGTGGCCGGGTCGGCGCTGTGCCCGCTCTTTGCCAGGTCTTGTCCTTTGGGTCTCAGAGTTGCCCCCCCATCTCACCTGGCTGCCTTCCGCCCAATGCCCTCCTGCTCCCTAGTATCTGAAAGTATCTTCTCTGCTGCTCACCTGCCGACCCCGCCCTCCCTTTCTCACGGACGTCCCCAACGCGCAGAACCAGCCATCCGCTGGAGAGAAAGGGAAGAACGTTCTTGTGTTTCACTGTATTTATTAATTCCACTTTCCAGATTGGGTCATTTTAAAAAATCATCTGAAAATACCGCTCTAATAAATAAACCTCTGATTTACAATGTTTGGGGGTGTTTTCTTTTAATCACAAATGAAAGCCTTTTTAAAGCCAATTCTGCCCAATCCGGGCAGTTATAGAGCAAAACCTCCCTGGAGAGCTGCCTGGCCCGGGCCGCAGCCCCGCCCTCCTCTGGGCCGCGCGAGGGTCAGTAGTCCACGCTCCGCATGGCGGCCACCGTGGCGGCGAGGCGCCGGGGCAGGCCTTTGCTGACCTGCCGGTAGTCCTCGGGCTTGGTTTTCAGCAGCGTCCCGACGTGCTGCAGGGTGCGGGAGGGCTGCAGGCCCAGGGCGTCCATCACGTTGACCAGGTAGTCTGTGGGGTGGGGACAGACAGACTCAGCACAGGCAGGACAGGCCCACAGGCCTCCCGGGGTCCCCTCGGGTAATAAATGGACCCTGCCCACTCTCCAAATGCTGGGGTCCGCTCTGCCCTCAGCAAGAGGCCTGGACTCTGAGGGTGTTCCTGACTGAGCTGGGCCCGTCCCGCTCCCAGCTGCTGCCCAGCTGCTGCCCATTGGGCTGCACCTAAGAGGACGGAATGGGGACACAGGCCCGGAGCAGCCTGACGTACTGTGGTGACGGTGATGGGTGCTGCCTTTCCTCCTCCTTCCTGGTGGGGACAGACCTCTGGGAGCCTTTCCTGTCGGGAGGGCTGGAGGCAGCGCCGCCCAGGCCCTTCCTTCTCCCTGACAGCGGGAGCGCCAGGCAGGTCTGCCTCTTCCCGTGTCTCCTGAGGCCCTACTCAGCCCCGGCTGCTGGCTGAGGTCCGGCTCAGGGGGAGCTGCTTCCCAGGAGGCGGCCTCCACCAGTCAGGCACCTGCCTCCTGCACAGCTTGTCC